TAGATTTAATTTTAGTAATTCTCTATTATATTATGTCTCTATAATAATAAAAATGACAAATTAATGATATTAATAATAACTTTTTTTACTAGTTTTAAATCTATTTTGTAAAATTATATTAAATTATTCTATTAAAATTTTGAAAACAACTAAAAAGTTATGAGTAATTATATTAAATTATTTATTTTTAAATGTTTTCATAAAACAGATACAATATATGTATTATTAAAAAATTATATATAAAAAATATTTTTTAATTATATAGAACCTATAAAAATATTTTACATATATTGTATATAAGCAAAAAAATACATAATAAGAATCCAATAAAATCCATTAAAAAAATATTTAAATATACAAATTATTCATATTATTTTACATCGAATAGCAATAAAAAAAATTATAATACAATTAAATATATTTTTTGAATACATATATCCACGTTTATATATTACTTTTAAAAATAATTATAATTATTAATAATTATATTAAATATATGAAATAATGAGAAGGTGTGCTAATTATTTGAATATTTTAATGAATCTGATATGTTATTGAGTGATACAAATAGACACTCAATTATTTGATTTATATCATTAGTGAAAACCTTGTTATGATAGCTAATAATAAAGTCAATTAATTTTTAAGAGTCAATTCCTGCGGAGACAACAACTGGTTTGAAACAAATTGCAAGAAAAATACAACTCTATTGATATATTTCTAATTATCATATCATTTATGTGGTGCACATATAACACACAAATGTGCAAAACATTTACATTTTAATTAAATCCAACTGTTTTGTAAATAATTACTATAAAATCAATACTAATAGGTTTTTTTGTATAAAGAAACACATACAGTAAATAAACATTAAATTAATTTTTGTCTTTTATTTTTTATAATAATAATACTTATTTGGATTTTAGATTTTAAACACGATAAATATTAAAATTATATTTAATTTATAATTATTAATATTAACAATAACTTATTTAGTAATTTAAATTATTATTAGTTTAATATTTCGATATAATTTATTCATTTTTGTTATTGTTATTTTAATTTATAGAAAAAACTTTAACATTTTAATTTACATTGATTTCATATATTAATAAATTTAGATTTTTATAATTATACAATCTAATAATGTTGATATTATATAGAAATATATAATTAGAAATTGAATATTTTTTGATACATAATTAGTACCGTTTAGGAAAGTCGCTGATAAACAATATAAATAAATACTAGATTTAAAATTTCTTTTATAATGAATTTGTTTACAAATAACAAAATCGATAAATATATTACTTATTTTCAAAACGATTTGTATAAATTGTTTTGATAATTATATGAATGTGTTGCCGCACAACAGTTTTGTTTTATTTATATAATAATTATGATTTTTATTGTTGCGTTCAAATATACTAATTAATTTTTCATATAATTTATGTTTAAATGTCATTATAAAAATGACAATCTTTATAATTATTTTTGTCAATTTTAATTAAAAACAGTTAACTTTATTTAATTGTCCACTTATTTCATAATTTTTATTCTTCTTATTCTCAAATAAATACAGAAGTACTCAAAAAATATAGTAAACATTTTTTATGTAATTTTTGTTTTTGTAACTTTTATAAAAATACATATTTTGTAGTATTTTTATAATACTTTACTTTATTTATAATGTATTTTTGGAGAAAAAGAAAGAAAGAAAGAAAGAAAGAGAGAGAGAGAGAGAGAGAGAGAGAGTCATAACTATTGAGACTCTCATAGATTGAAAACAAATATTATACTAAACTAATGTCAAACACTAAAAAAACTATCATTTTATGTCACTATAATCCTGAAATATACTGTATATAAAGTATATACCGGTATATTATGATAGTGTATAAAATAAAATAATAGATAATATTAAAAGTGTATAGAATCTATAGTAATATTATCATGGTTGAAACTAAACATGCTTTAATTTGTTAAATTAATTATTTTATATAAACAAATTAATTTATTATTGTTAGTTTCAAAACATAATTAAATAAATATTAAGTATATAATAAGTATTGTTTTAATTATAATACATAGTAAACAAACAATAATATAGCACTTCATATTTTATGTGACACTGAATTAATTTATATATTAAGATGTGTTTTACAGTATATATCTTTAAATTACTAATTGGATTAATTGTTATAATTTTTTTCAATTCTTAAAAGTATATAATTAAAGCAAAAGATGTGTTTAAAACTTAAATAACAATCCTTTTGTATTATTATAGCATTTTTAAAATGAATTACCTTCAGGTCATTAATAAAAATGTAAAAGTGATTTAATAATTTTGATACAACAATTATATTTTTGTATTAATTATAAAATTACAATATAAGATATAAGCCTAAAGAGATTATAACAATTTCACTGTTAAGCAAATTAATTTGCATGAAATATATATTAATCACTAGTTTTTAATAATATTGTTCATAAGTTATATCATTATTTACATATTTTATTTATAATTTAAGCTCTTAAATCAAATAATGTGTATTTAATATATATATGCAATTAAAGCAGTTTTTGAGATTAGATCAATAAAGTAATTAATAATAAAGAATTTTAAATATTAAATTCTATAATGAATTAAATAAAATAATATATTATATTTTTTATTCATCTAAGTTTATTTTAGTATAATTATATAATATTAATATTAAGTAATATTATATAATTTATAAATAATAATAATAACAATTTTTTTGTATGAATTAAATAAGTCATGCTTTTATCTAAAACATGACTTTCCTATTAGTTTCTTATGATTTTTAATATAAATTGATTCATATATTTAGTGAACTACTAGTTCGACAATACAATGACAATGATTGGGAAAGTTAGCGCTGTATTTGATTGTAATCACTTGTAAAAAGGGCACACCGTATGTATTAATATGATTTGAAAATTGGTTCACCAAATGTTAGCCACATATGAAAGCAATTTAACAAAATTGTATTTTTTGCTCCAAAAAAATATCGAAATAATATTGATATAAAAAATGAAATAGCGATTGAAATCTCTATAACAATAGATTCTGTTTAAGTCAAACATAAAAAATCAATAAAATAAATTGAATTCAATTTTTATGTCTTATTTTGTCTTGTTTATAGTTCAATAACTAATAAAAACGTATAAATTGAATCACTTATTTAAGCAACAAATGCTAAAAATTAATATTTTTATGAATTTTACAAAATATATACTTACTGTATATAGTATTTGTTGGATTTTATTTCATTGAAATATTACTTTTCATTTATTGGTAGATAAAGTATTATTACATTACTTGTAAATATCTAATATCATATTACTATTGATATTTGCAATTAATCATCAAAATGTCAATGTTTTATGTGATACAAATATTTTAAATATATCAATCACTTTACTTTAATCAATTATGTTATTTAATCGCACATTTTGTTAATTAACTGTATTTATATTTATCAATCTTGATAATTAAAAATTAACGATTTTACAAAACAAATTAAAAATATTTTAGAGCTAACGGTAAGTACTGTATATGATTTGGTTTATATGAGTTTGGATCATATGAACAGTAGATACAGTATTTCACTATAAATATTGTATTAAAATAGTTGCCATTCATTTATTCTAAGCTTATTTACAATTTTAAATATTAACAAAAATATATTCATTATTAATAAATAATTGAAAAAATATATCCGTTTATTTCAAATTCTAAATAATCAATACTTAGAATGAATTAATAAATAATAGTATTTATTTCAACATAAACTACCATGACACTTTTATTGAATACTACGTTAAAATATTTAATTATATAACTGTTTAGATAGAGGAAGAAAATTAATTATAAGATTTTAGTAATTATTATAATTTCATATATTTCTTTGTTGCCTAAATGGCAATCATTTACGACAGTTGGCCACATAACTGCATAATGTCGGGATTATTGTCGGGATTATTGTCGGGATTATTGTCGGGATTATTGTCGGGATTTTTGGGAAAGAGCATTGAATCATGTTTAAAGTTAATTTTTAAAGTTAAATATCTAATTACTAAAATAAATAAATATCATATAAACATAAATCTCTCTCTAAAACTAATCATTTTGTATTGATATACATAAACAACTAGTAATCCCGACATTATGTAGTTATCGATAAGTTTCTCTTTTTTGTTATCCCTATCCCTCAGTACCTTCTGATGAGTCTTTCCGCGACAATAGACGACGAAATAGCGCTATAAAGGTATAAATTGTGAATATATACTATAAATATAATTTAGTGTATTTTTATCATTTTTCAATATTCATTATATTCATTATTATTTTCAATTATCATTTTCTATAAATATAATTTTTCATTTTTCAAAAATTTTCAATTTTCAATATATTATAAACTCGACGTCAATAAAATCAGCATTTAGTTATATTAAATTAATTTATAAAATAAATACCAAATATAATTTTAATTGATTAAATTAATTTTAAAATGTAATACTGCAGATAAAACTGCAATAAAACTAATAGTAAATGATTCATTAAATAAAATGTATATTAAAATAATGTGACGATTTTGCTTTATTTTGATTACAATATCTATTTTGGAAAAACAATATTAATAATAAAATTAATTTTTCAATATTATTACTGTTAGTAATAATCAAATGTTAAATAATATTTGTATTATTATATAATTTTATTATGATATAAAATATAATTTTTTATATGTACAGTACGTTTATGCAATGCATTATCACTTGTCGTTAAGTATTTTTATCATTATTGGTAATTATTTATAGTAATAGTAAGTAGTATTATGTTTGATATTAAAATTATGGTACCGGTAATTATAAAGTAGACAAATAATAAATACTCCAAAAATTATAATTAAAAATAAAATTTATTATATTTTTTAAAATTTCATATATAATTAAATTAATAATAAAGATTAGCAACACTTATTCCGTCTGTTTTCACAACTGTCCTCATTATTAGTCGGTTCGTCAGCTATTACTAGACCTCTATTTTATAGAAATTAAATCAATTATTAAATAATAAAATGAATGACAAATTTAATGTCTAACCTTTGACCCGATCCAGACATTGTTGAGCGGCTTTTAAATTGTGTTTGTTCTTGAGATGACTGACTTTTAGCCATCATTTCTAATATCAATAAATATATTGATTTTCAAATTCATGTTAAATATTCAATAAAAATACAATACTTTTAGTTAAATCAAGAAAGAGGTCATCGATTCCACGGTTTTTTTTAGCGGACGTACAGTAATGCGTGGCGTTTACTGATTGACTGTATTTCATTGCTTCGGCTATCAGTTCATTGTTTGCAAAGTTGTTTTGCTGTTCAAGTGATAGTAAGTCAATCTTATTGCCGACTATTGTCAGCACAACATTATTGCCACGGATTTTACGTAACTCTTTGACCCACGACTTGACTTTAGACAGAGAGTCCGAGTCAGTCACGTCATAGACAAGTAGTGCTCCGTTTGAGTCCCGATAATAGATGGGTCCCAACGCGTGAAACCTCTCCTGACCTGTACTTTACAATACACATACATATATATCATCTCAATTGGTCGCCAATATGTCATCAATTGGTCACACATACCGGCGGTGTCCCAAATGAACAGTTGTATTCTCGTTTCGTTTAACAAAAACTTTTTGGTCAAAAACGATGCCTGAAGTGTGGACTCATGTGCTTCACTGGTGGACAACAATATCATCGGATCAAACAAGTGGTCAAACAAGTGGTCAAAGTCTTACTTGAATTTGTTGTGACAGTATCTCAACATTAGTGATGTCTTTCCCACACATCCCTCGCCTAACAAAACAATTTTGAACTGTTGTTGACTTAAATGGTTGGCGTTTGTCGTCATCTTCAGTGACCAACAATTCAATTGATAACCAATTGATCAGTCAATCAATCAATGTTTCAATTGAACCAATGTTTTCATGTATTGATGGCTCAACCAATCAATGACACAATACATACACTCATACTATACGTCAATACATTACTGTTTGAATGCATTGTCAATACATGCTATACATTGCACCACATTATGTGCAACCCTTACACGTAATCTATTGTATTATAACATATCATATGATAATCATTGTATAATAATATTAATTTAATAGACTTTTTCTAGATTTTATCAAACAATTGACTCAAACATCAAAATTCATTAATAAGTTTTTAAAAACTATTTTTATAGACATGTTAAAAGTTTAACTTAATTTAAACAACATTTATTACATTATATAATCTAATAACTTGAGGACACAATTATTTTACTGACAATTTATCATTTTTATTACAATTATTGCAATTATCAAACAATTAGACCCAACAGTTAAACATTGGGTTATCCTTTAAATTTTTATACGATTAGTGATTTTCAATAATAAATTTATTATTACATACAATTATATGCTGTTTAATATACAGTATATAAGTTATACTGTATTAATATATTTAATCAATTAAAAGTATATTATACTGTATTATATATTTCAAAATTCAATACTTTAATCAATTATACAGTACTTTATTTACTGTAATATCATATGATGTTTAAGTATAAGTATATAATATGATAATTGTGATAACCTATTGATAACCGATTGATAATAATACGGTTATTGAATATAACTATAACTTAATATAAGTAGTGATAAAACACTGGTGACCACTAATTAATTAAGTATTTGTATTAAATTTTAATTAAATTAAATTAATTATAATTTCAAAATTGATGATAAGCTAAATAATATTTAATTATTAAATAGTTTGAATAAATGATTCGTTTATTAGTTTATTACTAATTAAAGTTAATATAAATGTATTTTATATACATTTATAACAGTTATTATGAGATATAAGTGATACCAAAATATTGAGATATAATTAAAGAGAGTTATGAATGAAATAAATGATAAATTATTTGTCTTTATCTTTGTCTTCGTTGAGTTTGATTTGCTGTTTAATGAAGACTTTGAGTGACGGATCAGTTATGTATTGATCTAATTGTTTGATTGCCTCTTGACTTATATCTCCATAATATTGTTGCAGTTCTTCGACATACTTAACCCAAACACAGTTATCACATCCCGATTGACAACAGTTTTCCGGTGGTTTCGGCGGTCTTTTAGATGTCTTGTATTCACTCGTTGTCTCTGTTTTGACATTCTTTCGTTTATCATCTGAAGAATCGTTTGAAAACCTTTTGGCCACAAATAACTTATCCGTAATTATTTTGATCATAACTTTATTGTCAATTAATTTACATTTGATAAGTGAAGACATGTTTTGACCAATTGAAGTGATATTTTATTATCACATAAATTGATAATACATTTATTGGTCAAACATGTGATAAAAGTTGTCAAAACAGTGAAGCAATCTTCGGGTGAGTCAGTGATGAGCGCTATCTTCCGGACCATTGAGTCAATGGATGTCAACATTAGTCATGTGTTTATAATTTTAACCATTGATTGAATGTATTGACAAAAGTTTGTATCACTCAAGACATCACCCAATGGTACGCTTCGCTCAGATAGTCATTGGACCGGCGGGTAGTGGGAAGTCGTCATATGTGTCGGCAATGATAAGTCACGGACAGGCAATGGGCCGTACATTAAGTGCTTTCAATATGGATCCGGCGGCCGAATACTTCCAGTACAACCCCATCGCAGACATCAGACAACTGATCACTGTTGACGACATTATGGCCGATAAAGACTTATCATTTGGTCCTAACGGTGGTCTCATCTTTGCTATGGAGTTCTTGTTGGATAATATGGATTGGTTTGAGGAACAGTTGGGTGATATGGATAACGATTACATATTGTTTGATACGGCCGGACAGATAGAGTTGTCCACACATTTAGATGTCATGCAAAAGTTGATCCGTTTTCTTCAATCACATGATTTCCGAGTTGTCGGTATATTTCTGTTGGACTCACAGTTTATATCCGATGTCTCAAAGTTCTTCTCAGCCCTAATGGTATCACTTTCGGCAATGATTAGTCTTGAGATACCAGTTGTAAACTTATTGACAAAAACAGATCTTTTAGACAAACCTTCTCTCAAAAGACTTGAAAGTTTTTTAGAGCCCGACTCTTATCTATTGGAAAATCAATTTCCCGAAAAATGGGGTCAAAAGTATAGAAAACTTACCGAAGCTTTTGGCCAATTGTTAGACGATTACTCTTTAGTCAAATTTATGTCAATCAATATTTTTGATGAACAATGTCTTAATGATGTCTTACTATCGGTAGACAATGCACTTCAGTTTGATGACGAACAAGAGGTCAAAGTGCGTGACTTCGATGAACCACTAATTGATGAAAATAGTGAAGATATTGTTGATAATGATTAACATTGTATTTAATTTATGTTTAAACAAAAGTTAAAATGTTTTATATATTTGAATAAATATTTCTATTAATAACTTATTGTTATATTTTTTAATACTTTATATCTCTTTCTATAATAATTATTAGTGTCTTGATTTCCAACTAAAAAAATTATTTTGTCGGTTCAACGCTTATAACTGGGACTTAGTATGTCCACCGAAGTTGACCAGTGGACGCTATTTCCGAAATTTTATTATAACTATAAATAACTATTTGTTGGGTTAGAAACTATAAAAACTTATAAATAATTATTTCATTGATTTTGAAAAATATAAGCATTAAATTGTAAAATATTGCACAAATATATGTAAAAACAAAAAGTAATAGTTATATAAATTATATAAAATGTGTAAACTGTTAATCAACTCATATTACTTTTTTAACAATAGAAATAATTAGTTTATTTATATAAATCATTTTTGTAAATATGCTGAAAACAAGTGAATTATATATCAGTTGAAATATTTATAAGAAAATAAATAACTATTTGGCTTTTTTGGCAATTATATACAACTATTTAATACAGTTTAAATAACTATTTTAACAACTATTTGACTTTTTTTAGCAACTATTATAACAACTATTTAATAGAGTATAAAAAATTATTAATCAATACACTAATAATTAATGAATTTTTAGATTTATAATTACCGGTAATTACTAAAAAACTTCTAACATTTTGTTACAATTATATTGAACTCATATTTATTTGTAATTTATTATATGATTCAATAGAGTATCAGAAATAATTAGTTATAAAAGTATTTTTCAATTTTTACGAACTCCTGAAAGGATCTGAATTCTATAAGTCTGTCTGTCTGTCTGTCTGTCAGTCTGCCAAATGACCCCCCCTTAAGATCAAGATTTTGGGATTTTACCAGACTTTTTGACCAAATTGGGAAAATTGTTGCTTAAAAACGAGGAGAAATGACCCTAAAATTTCGGAGCCGATTTTTTTTAAGTTTATAAAAATTTTAATTTTAATTGATACTATTTTAGTAAATGTTATTATGTTTTTAAAATTTATATGAATCTAATTATTAATTAAAAATAAGTAAAATAGTTAAAATCACGTTAAAACTCATCTAAAAATAATATTATTTTAATTAAAATATTCAACTAAAAAATTAAAAATTACCTATTTGTCAAAAAAGAGTAATGATATTACAATTTAAATAAAAGTTTAAGATAAATTAAGTTAGTAAAACAATAAATACTTACAGTATAATATAAAGTTTTATTAATTTTTTTATTTTTGGAAAATTTACCCATTTTCTAGGAATATATACGGGAACTTTATGGAATTTACATGGGAATATTCGGGAATTTAAGGAATTTTTAGGGAATTTTCTCTTGACCCCCTTGATTTTGGATTTTTTAAAAAATGCAATAAAAGTCTACACCCACCCTAGATCCCACCCAAGATTTTTTGAAAATTTTGTAAATTGACACCACATTTAAAATCCAAAACCTTGCTTAACCCTGATATATATATGGACAACAATATATCAATTGTTATATTCAAATGCGTTATTTTATTATATTTATTAAATAAATACAAAAATTATTTTTAAAAAATTATTACCCACGAATATCCAAAGATTTTTTCATATAAATATATTTTATGCATTAATAGATTATTTATTCATCATTATGTCCACATTATTCAATATAAATTAGCTTAAAATAATTTATGTATAGGTTTTTAAAAATTAACAAATAAAAACAATACAAAATTAATAAACTGCTAATAATTTATAAATGGCACAAAATTTCTGATACAATTCATATTACTTTATATTCATAAAACAAACTATTTATACGAATATAGGAGTATCTTAAAACTCGACTCATTTCAACTGTTTGACTATTGATAGTATATATTATATATTAAATAACTTGTAAACAATATTTTAAATTTAATAATTACCAAGGGCATAATTATAGATAATATTACATTGAACATTATTCTAATTGGTTATTTTTATTATTTGTACAACAAAAATAATCACTTTTGTCTAGTAGTCGATTCTATTATCTAGTTAATTCTACAATTAATAAAAAATTTACCAATTAAAATAATGTTCAATGTAATATCATCTATAATTAAGCCCTTGGTAATTATTAAATTTTAAGTATTGTTCACAAGATATTTAATATATTATATATAAACTAACAATAGTCGAGCCATTCAAATCAGTCGAGTTTTAAGATAATCTCATAAATAAACCAAAAAATTATTGAAATAAGTGATAAATTTATATAATAATCATTTAGTATTAATAGTTTGTTTATTCAGCAGTTTTTTAATTAATTTTCTAATTAATAGTTTTTTTGATATCGTAGTTAATTTTAAATTTTTCTATTATTGATATACATTTATTCTGTACAAATACATTACACAATTTTAAAATCAATTATCAATTATTTAAAAATTTTAAAGTACTTTTTTGATGACTTGTTAATGTCTATTAATAGCTTTAAACAAAAACTATTAACTTATTATATATTTTATTTTATTTTATTATTTAATAATTTATCGATTAATTGTAATAAAAATTTTGTATTGAAGAGCAATGCAAAAAATAGTGGCAATAAGTTATCATCAGACAATAAGGTGACCAGCATAAGCAATAAGTTACCGGCTCATGGCAAATGGCATTATGGTAATTTTTGAGTTTATTTAAAAAAAATTAATATGACATACAATGTATATATTATATATTGAATATTAAATATTAGGTGAGAATTGGCCGAATCACGGCTGGAAAAAGTGCGGCGGACAACAACAGTCACCCATTAGACTCATATCGCAAAACTCCGAGTCCCGTGAAATGCATATTAATTTTAGAAACTATAAGAAACCCATAAAATTAGCTTATATTCAAAACAATGGACACACCGGTAGTTATTTACTAATAGTTATTTATAATAAATTATTCATATATTGTTTAATATTAGTTCAGATTGGATTTGCCGATAAATTTAAAATAGCAGTTTATGGTTCGGGAACTAATTTTCAATCATATTTATTCAAACAAATGCATTTTCATTGGGGTAGTTATAATGGTGTCGGAGCTGAACACCTAATCGATGGATATAGGGGTCCATTGGAGTTGCATTTAGTTCATTATAATAAAAAATATGGAGACTTTGATACGGCTATGGATAAAGTTGATGGACTTGTCGTTTTAGGTGTTATTTTTAAGGTTTGATAGCACACACATACAAATTATAGATATTGTATTATTAAGTTTAGTTAATTCTTTCATAATCAATGAAAAAGTATAGTTAACTTAATAAAATCATAGAAATACTTTAGTAACTTAAAGATTATTATTGAATATTACAATACAATTATAATGTTAAAGTATTTTTATGAATTTGTCAATGAATTTTCCTATAATAATATTAATTGATATTATTTTTTAATAAATCAGATTAGTTCCCGAAATAATCGTTTTATGTCAACTGTAATAGAGTTAGTCAAAGAAGTTCCCAAATATAATGATAGAGCCTTTATATTGCGTTCATTTACATTGCGATCATTGTTACCGTCGAGAATAAAGCCTTTCTTTGTCTACAACGGTTCCCTAACAACCCCTCCCTGTCATCAAAGCGTTTTGTGGTATTTAATAACATTTTCTTTTGTTTAGTTTTTATTTTTCGAAAACATTATACATTAATAAAATTAAATAATTATATATATATTTGTTATTTAAGGATTGTATTCAAGAATAATGCAAATATGGGAAGTGTTCAGGTAAGTCATTTTAATTATAAAAAATTTATTAATGTAATCAATATTTTTTACAATCATATAATTTACTAATATTTTGATTGTTGTTTATTATATAATATTTGAGTCAAAGCTAAATAGTATTATTATACTAAAGAATATAACAATACATAACACATATGTTGAGCACAAAACCGGTTCTCTTTCCTCTATTAGATAATTTGTTATATATTTTAACTATAATTTCATTTTAATTTTATATAATTACTAAATATAATTAAAATAATCTAATAATAGGAAAAACAGTTTCGAAAGTGTCGGTCCGAAAATAATAATCCAAAAACAGGTCGCAAAAAAACCATTTCAAATAACTTCAGACCCATTCAGGCTCTAAATGAAAGACAAGTCTATATCTCGGCTTAACTATTAAAATGTTATTAATATATTAATACGAGTCCTTTCTCTATAATATTAATTATCTATTTTTACAATAATTATATAAATTATTTTTAAAAATTACAAAATTATAAAAAGGAATGTTATGTAAAAAATGTAAAATAGTATATAAAATAAATAAAATGTTATATTTAAAGTCACTAATGAACTGTACAAAATTATATAATGATAATAGATTTTTTAAATCATTTAAAATCAAATGTGTGATTGAATTGAGATTTTTATACAAATGATGAGAAGCCTGGAAGTGGTGCTCGACTTCCGGCCATATTATTCACTATAATTCGACCACCATTTAGATTAACAGAAGGACAGTCCAATTCACTATCTTCTGATGCATTAATAGCAATGGCAGCTAAATAGCTCGGTGGTGGGGGAGCAGGAGGTGCTGGTGGATCACGAGTAGGCATAGAAAGTCTATGTTGTGTTGGCACTACATATTGTTTAGCATTTCGTTTCCATGATGGCTGTCCTTTCCTGAGTGTGTCGTTAACATTGGCGTAATGGTTAACAAAATGATTGGCAGCACTCATGTCTTCGTGATCTGACTCCGACTCTGGACCCGAACTACTCATTTCACTGGGTTTTTCGGTAAGACTCTCACCGCTACTCTCATAAATTCCGGCTCCTTTGATATCATCGTCGTCTTCTTCATCAGAATAAGTGATGGAACCGGGAGATGGTCGAGGGGGTGACTTTGTAGCTGCTATACTGGTCACTGTATTTAATGTTCCATTACTTCGCCTTTGATGTGTTAGTGTATAATTTTGTTGTCTCATTTCAAACCCAGAAGGATAATGTGTATCCATATTGTCATCCAAACCAAAGCCTACTTCTGAAAGTCTATCCTGTGATCCCTTAATCATTTCTTGTTTATATTTATTAGCTTTATTTTTAACACAAAGTACTGCCACTACCATAATAGTTATGACAACACTAAGACAGGCGCATAGTATAACAAACCAACTTTCACTGCAAAATTAAAACAAACAAAAAATAGTTTAGTTTTAATCTAAATTATAAATTAAAATTACAAACCGATAATAAGGCATACGAGCCCTCAGTTCCAAATGAGATGGTGTCTGTATAACAACGGCACCGATAACTTTATCGGGATAAGCGGGTTCACTAATGCCGTAATCATTCATTGACATAACACGAAACGTATATTGAGATGAAGGCGCCAAATGAGTGAAACTGATTTCAAATCTTTCTTGATGTCCATTCTTTATTTGTGCGATCGGTTGCCATTCAATAGCTCCCTTTACATTCAAATTATTTGCTTCAATTAAATATCCCGTTATATGTCTATAGTCGGGATTCTTCCACTTTAATTTAACGGATATCAATGTTTGTGTTGATATCACATGAGTTGGTGGTGGTGGTGATCCCGGTTGTGGACCAGTTGTTACTGTAGTTAATAAAATATGATGATAGTTGTTAATTAATCTTTTAAACAATTATCGTAATAGACATACCGTTTCCAATGGTTTCTGGTCCGGCACCAGCAGATGTTTCAGCTCTAATTCTAAACGTATACATAACTCGCTCTCGCAGTCCATTAACCACTAAATAGCTGTCATTAATCTTTTGTTTAACTTGTTTACTGAAATCGTTAATAAGTGTCTCATATGTGATATAATAGCCCAGAAGTATACCATTTGGTTCAATGGGTGGTTTCCATGAGACCTTTACCTGAGACATAGTAATCTCAGAAAAGACAAGTGTTCCCACTTCTCCGGGAATGTCTTCTTTAGTTTCAATAACAATAGCACGAGAACGCGGTCCATCTCCCGCTGGATTAAAAGCGGACAATTGTATGCTATAATTTGACCATTTATTTAGATCCAAAAGAATAAACGACTCAGTAGTGTCGGGAACTATTTCCATCATTTCTCGCGGCTGTTCTTGATATATGTGTCGATGAGATCCCAAATCATAATTTTTATATTGATAATCAATTAGCTGCCAATAAAATATTTTATATCCCATAATTAGACCATTTTGTTTGTTTTTGTCGGGAGCACTCCACGTCACTTTTACTTCAGTTGATGACAACGCTGTTGTTGTTATATTCAATGGTTCTCCAGTTGGAACAGCTAAATGATAATTCAAATAATTAGCAATAATGTCGATTACATTACAGTATATGTCAATAACAATCAATACAAACCTTCTCCAACATAAACTACTTTTGGTTTACTGGATGGTCCGTCGCCCTGACTATTATAAGCAATCACTTTAATTTCGTAGTGTTGGTCGCGCTCTAAATTTTCAATTGAAAAAGACGTCACATTTTTACCCCTAACCAAACTTGAGGGACAGTTAGATGAGACGCCCTGTTGTGATATAATACAATAATGCACTTTATAACCGGCACCACTTTCGTCTCCATTCCAGTCGGGAATTTCTGACCATTTGACAGCAACAGATGTGGTTGTATAGGGAGAGACAATAACATTAAGAGGTGTCTTATCAGGTTGTGCTGGAAGTGTTCGTGTGATCGGCGACTCAAGACTCCAACCACTGTCGCCGATATCATTCGTTGCTTTAATTCTAAACTGATATGTCGTAAATGGTTTTAAATTAGTAATTGTGTAGACTCTAAGTGTTGGATCAATTTTGGTGGGATATGTCCACCAGTGTCCTCCTTGAGATGAGATTTGTGCCGTATAGAAGCGCAATGGTGCGTAACCATCACGACCAGGAGTCCAGCTAATAGTCACTTGACGGGAACTAATCTGTGAAGTGCTAATCAATGGCTGAGAAGGTGGTGAAGGCAATTCTCTTGAGTTAGTCGTATAGACGAGCAATTTGGCGGCTTTACCCCAACCTTCACTAGTTTTGGCGGTCACGTCAAAGATATAGTATGTTTCAGGTCTCAGGTCTAGAAATCTATGCGTGCGATCAATTGATGCAAACTCTTTAAATATGGATCGTCTAATGTCTTCATCACTCATTTTGTATGATATCCTATAAGCTAATATCTCTCCATTTGGTTCTAAAGGTATGTCCCATTGAATTCTGGCTGTAGTTTGAGTGACATCAGGAAATGTGACATTAGATGGTGGCCCCGGAACATCTTGGAATGTATGAACTGTTGTTGAGGTACTATAAACACCATCACCGGCATGAGTATAGGCACAAACACTTATCCTATATGTGGTATATTTCTTAAGTTCGGTTAAAGTAGTGGTTCGGGTTTGATTGCTCTCAATTATTTTATATTGCGTGCCATCGATTTGTTTTGATGACATGTATTTAACTTTAAATCCTTGAATTATACCATTCATGTCGTCATTGGCTACTTCTCCCCATTCGACAACAATAGTTGTAGAAGAGGTAGCATTAACTTTGACAGAATCGGGACCAGCACTGGGTGTTGCCTCACTTGTACGCTGAACTATAAGACGACTGCCAGTTGAAGATCCGACATCATTAAGCGCATAGACCTGAACACCATAACGAGTGTACTCATCGAGAGATGTTATAAGATATGAATGCGAGTGATAATCGTCGGCAATAAATGAATGAAGAGTAGAAGAAATGCCTTCGTCATCATTGATTTGCATCCAAGTAATGTTATAACCTCTTGGATGTCCATACCATGATTCTGGAGGCAATGGTGTCCATCGCACTCGTAATGCAGTCGGAGATATTGATCTAAGTGTTACATTCATAGGAGGTCCTGCAGGCAAGGCTTGTAGTGTTTGAAATGGTGGCGACAATTCACTGGGTCTTAAACTTCTTCCCACAACATTAACTGGTATTAATCTCAACCGATATTCAGTATATGGTCTTAAATTATAAACAGTTATTGCATCGGGTTGTGTGTGATTTGTCGACTCGTAAATAACAGACCAATTGGCGTTTCTAAGTCTAAACAATTGACTTTCAACGATCCACTTATTTATGGAGGCGTTTCCATTAAAACCAGGAGTAAATTGAAGAACAACAGAAAAGGCACCGATATTAGAGATGGCCAAATGGGTTGGTGGCTGAGGCAACACTGGAGGTACACTGCTTTGAATTGTTGAACTCTCAACAGGTCCGGAACCTACTTGAGTCCACGCATTTATCTCAAATGTATAGGCAGTTTGAGGCTTTAGGTTTGATATAATTATATCGTTTTGATCATCCGTCAGATTTGTTTGTATCTTTTGACCGTCATTAGCACCGACGGCATAATGTCTTAATGTATATCCAAGTAATTTCCCATTAATACGATTAGGTGGTGACCACAACACGTGAACACTTTTATCCAGTATATCTCTAAACTTAAATTGTGACACTTTTTCAGGTAAATCTTGAAGTGTCGTAACAACAATTGGATGGTCAGTTCGGGGACCATCGCCTGCACTTGTAAAACAGAGCACTGTTATGTAATAAGTTGTATAAGGTTCGAGACCATCCATTAAAGCCATTTGTGCTCTTTCAGGGAAAGGAGAGGGTGGTTGTAATGACTCTTTGTATAGTTCTGTATATGGTATGGACGTATCGTTTGATTTCCACGCTTGAAGTTTATATCCCTGATTAATACCATTAATAAGCTGAGGATCGGGTGAATTCCATTCAATACGAATAGAAGTTGAGTTAATGGCAACAGCGGACAGTTGTCTTACTAGACTGGCTGGTCGGCCCTCTTTGGTTCGAACAAATATACTTTGACTATAAACCCCGACTCCCATTTCATTATAGGCTGCAATTTGAATTTGATAATTTTGCCAAACAATTAGATCATCCAATAGATACTGGAGTTGGGCAGAATTAGTTACATTATGTTGATACCATTGGGTGTGCTCAGCATAACCGGCCAACTTATATCTAACAATAAATCCCATTAACTGTCCATTAAGTGATTCAGAAGGTGGTGGTTGCCATTGAATCATAATAGCTGTCGAAGAACGAGGCGCACCAACAACACCAATAGGACTGGCACTGGGAGGCTGTGCGGGAAGTGTTATTGATGGTGAAGTGGCAGCACTTGGTTGCCCTTCGCCAACATTATTAACAGCACTGACACGGAATTGATAAGTCATGGCTGGTCTCAGATTAGTAAGAAGTATAAAGTTTTGTGAAGCAGATATGTTGACCGATGCTGTGGTCCAACTGTGCACTCCATACATAAAATCATCGTCAGCGCTGTCATTATCACCATTTGTTTGACTCAATGTCCTCATTTGAACCACATATTTGATAATAGGACTGTTGCCATCAAAAGGTGGACTCCAACTCACATTCACGAGACCACCATTAATGTTGAGCTCTGCCCTCACATTAGTTGGCAGATGTGGTAATTCAATAACATCGAGCCGAGCACTGCGCTCTTCAGCCCCAACATCCGACTCTACCCGACACGTGTAAAGCCCAACATCAGTATTTCGAGCCTAAGATAAACATCATTAATAAATATCTTTAACAATACAATAATCCCATAATACCTGTTCAATTCTAAGTGTTCCGTCGGACATGACTTTTACACGAGAACTTGCGGTAGCATTCCGTCCATTAAAAGTCCACAGAATTTTAATGGGAATCGACGGGTCGTGTCTTACTTTGCATTGGAGTTCAGCTGTTGAACTGAGAATAACTTTGCTATCAATAGGCGGCTGATCTATATGTGGTCGCACTGGTAAATCACGGGACGGATCAGGTGCTGAAACAAAGTGGCTATTAATTTGATAAAAATTAACAAATAATCATAACTTACCAGATCTAAATGATTGTATATTTTCTATTGTTATTAACAATAATAAAAAAGGTTGAAAAACAAATCTAAGTTTCATATTTGCTTGATATTTATCGTTTCAATTATAACTTTAATTGTTTTAACCAAAAACTAAATGAAAACCTAAAAATATAAAATCATTATAATTGAAGTTTTTTGTCATATTTCAAGTCTAAATGCTATATCATTGTCCAACCATTTAAAGGTTGACATTGCAATCAATGACTATTTTATTTAACAGGAAGACAGTCAATAAAAACAAATGTAATTCAATGTTATATAAGTAAATGCATTAATCTGAATGTTTGGTCAAAAAGTCAATTATTGTATGTGTAAAGCATTGTCTTTTAAATTGATTGCAAGTCATAATCATTGCATATATGCTATCAACTGATGTAATACTAAAACAGGTGAACAGTTATGATAAGTAATGTTTCGTATGTATTGAATGAAGCAATAATTATATTGTTGTGTCCGACACACCCAAACCAGTCTTTGCCTATCTCTCTCTCTCTCTCTCTCTCTAACAACGCATACATTCACCTAAAACCCTAACCAACAACACCTATACTTCCTTTAAGACATACGTTTAAATGACTTTCAATTTTTGTGAAAACTCATAGCGCCTAACAAAGTGAATATAAAGTACAATGCATTAAACTTAGCGGCTTTTGCTATCAATTTTTAGTACATTATAGAAAAGGATTGAAAATCTATAGTATTATCAAAAATTATTTTTTTTCACATTTATGTCCACCTATAGTGTCCAATGAACACAATTCCTAAGTTTAACAATCATATTAATATAAATATTTAATTATGAATAACATAAATGAAAATAATTATTAAAATAATATGGCATATAAATCATATAAATAATGATATTTATGTTATTTTTATAAACAATAATATATTATGATTATCCTTTAGAAATAATTTTTTTCTGACAATAAGTGTAATCAATAATCAGATGAAAAGATTAATAAAACATTTATGATATTTAAAATAATTAACAAAACTAATTATAAGTTATCACTTAAATATGTTTTGATTATTGAGACAACTTTTTTAAAGATAAAATAAAATTATTGGCATTAAGTGTCAAATCAATACATTACTGTAGTAACCAAAACAATAAACTATAAGTTAATGTCATTAACTGTAAGTTTTTAATACAATACTGTATATACTGTAGTAATAATCAGTGAATACAACATAAAAACAATATAAAAGACAAGTTGTCATTAAATTGAGTTAATATTTCAATCATTAAATGCATACCACTTGTGGTTAACTGTGTTTACGATCATTGAGTCGATGATCATCGCGACCGCAACCATCAAATCCATACATTTTCATCTATTTATTATCACTTTTATTTGGTCCCAAACATTACACTAAACAAACTAAAGTATTAACACATTATAAAGTTGAGTAACAATAGGCTATAAGTTAGTGAACAGTATATGATATTATTAGACAAATAGTTATACAATATGTATATAAATATCAACAAAACAATTGCATGTATTTTATTATCATTTAAAAAGACATTCAATAATACATACAATAATTGAAAGCATTTATTAAAACTATTTGTAAAACATTTTCAATGATTGCGAAAAATGGAGTTTCAATTCAAATGAGTGACCAAACAGTGATTCGGGGGTTTGATTGTGGGTTATGTCAGGACTGGTACTCCTATTCAATATTACACTATTCTCTATAATACTAATGCATTGCTTTGTTTGTTCAACGGTTGTGAACCAAGGGTTGGACACTATAGTCGAGAGTCACTCATGTATTGTAAGGAGTATTAAGACTAACATCTGATTGGTTGCAAGTTTTCAATGACCTCAACTCAGGTTCAATTAACTTACCATTTGATGCCCTCTATTGGACTCCAATGTTATCATATGTTTCAATACTATCGTATAAATCAATTAAATAGTTTTCAAACTTATGATAATTAATTAATTATTAAAATATATTGCTATGAATGCAATATTTTTGGTTACTTACAAATCGATGATTATTATTATTATTACAAATCAAATATGTACTTACATATTACAATTATAAATAATTTAATCATAAAATTATAGAGTATTTAATACTTGTATTTTTAATTTTTTAAAATTTTTGTCAAATTGTATAATATTTATATAGTTTTTTAAAAAATTGAGTTAATTTATAACATTATAAAACGTATGTTATTATTATTATTACTAGAATTTTAATGTTATTAAATGTATTGTATATTAGGAATCAGTAAATCTTTTTTTTTGTTAAGTATTTAAATTCAGTGATAGTCTGTGTGGCATATGTTCACTATTACTGTATTGCAATGTATGACAAAACAGTAAGGAATGTATGGGAGAGAAGTGCCGGTGAGAGGGACTGGTATGTCAATTGTAATGTATTATATTATGAAATATTCTAATGATTTGAATGCATTTTTAACAACTGTCCCGGTTTTGGGTCCCTCACACTGTATGACACCTAAAGTATGAAACAGATTAACGATAGAAATATTTTAAGAATTTTCACTATATCTGTGAAAAACATTTAAATTCTTTAAATATTCATTGGATATAATAATAAAGTTATTTTTAAGTTACGGTAAATAACATAATTTAATATTATTTAAAATCAATTCAAATATATAAAATATACACACTTTAATTATTAGTTATTTATATTGATTTTATTTTGATTACATATAATCTTCAAACATTCTCATAAAGTTTTCTAACTTTATTAAGTAATTGTTGAGATCCGTAGTGATCGGCATATAAATCAAGTGATTTCTTAGCGTAACTGAAACTCATATCGTAATGACCCATCTTTTCAGCCAACAGTGCCTGATTGTAGTGCGGCTCATACCTGTTAATTAATTAATAAATTGTCGTTAATTAATATTATTATTATATAACATATCTATCATTGAGTTTTTAAGATCATGGCTTAAAACATTTGAATCTTAATAATAATAACAAATAAAAATTACAAAATCTTACAAATGTTTGCCAATTGTGGCGGAGGTTTGGAAGTAAGCCTTTGCCTGTTGTATGTTAGTAGTGGTGGCATTGCTTTTACTCATTTCAATGACACCTAAATTATTATAGGCTTCCGAGTGATCATTGTTTGAAACTAAAGCTAATCTAAAGCATTGAGACGCCAATTGTTTATCACCCGAACCAATAGCCAAATGTCCGATATTATACCAAATATCGGCGGTTACGTCATCAGATTCAGAAAATATGAGCGCTCTTTCAAAACAAGTGATGGCCATATCAAACTGTTGGGACAGATAGCAGGATAGGCCTAAATTGTTATATATTTGTGTATTACAGGTTCCCATTTGAAGGATACGTCGGTAATAACGAAGTGCAATCTCTGGCTGATCGTTATAAAAGTGGTTGACTGCTATTGAGGCGATGGCCTCTATATTGATGGCATCATAAGTGAGTACTTCTTTATATAGTTTGATACTATCGTCCATTTCATTCATTAATTCATGAATTCTCGCCGCATATGTCAACAAATATGTTTCGCCGGGATATTTGTTAAGGCCTTCACTGTATACGTCTAAAGCAGCCAACGGTTGATCCAATCTCTCATAAACTTTACCCAACCATAGATACACTTCAACCGGTACTTCATTATGTTTGAGAGCCGACCGAAATTGTTTTTCTGCATCTCTAATCATTCCTAACTTATAATAGCATTTACCTAATTGAACCTAATATTTGAATTTAAAGTTTTAATAAACTAAATGTAAACTAAAGTGTATTAAACTAAATGAACATTACTTTCCAAAACCAATCCTTAAATTGATTGACTTCAGTAGCTTTTGCAGCCAATTCAAGAGCAACTCTGATATTATTTTCTTGGAAAAAGATGTATTCAAACAATGGTTTAGCTAATGTAGGAATGGCTGCATATTTTCCGATATTCAGTCGACTCAAGTTAATGAAAGGTCCGTCGGGTTGTGTTAGCATAGATGTCGTTCCCATTCTCACAAATCTTCCTGAAGACGAAGTCAATGGTCGGGCAGTTCTTGCAGTTCGCGGTGTTTTTAATGCATTTTCCATTGTTCCCAGTCTTCCCTGAGTGCCGGGTCTAAGCATTCCTGTTAATGGACGGCCAGACTGTGTGACCGGTCTTATAGATTGACTCGTTTGCATCGATCTTGCAGTTGGTAATGCCTTCAATGAAGTTCCGGGTCGGGCTACTTGTGCTATAGCGTTATCATCCATAAGACTTTCTGCAATTCCCTCCTCATCTGCTTCAAGATCGTCAACATATACCTGTTCTGTAAGACTTCTTAGTTTTAGACACCAAAATGCCTATATATATCAATATATACAAAAATACCACATCTGTAGTAATATGATTGAAATAAATTAACTCAATACTACAAAAATAGTTTTAAATAAAAAATAATCAATAATTTAAATAAATGCTGTTATTTGAACATTTCATTTACTGTATGTAAATTAATTTGAAACAATACATGTACTTTAGACTGTATGTAGATTTTAAATTTAATTATTCATGAGTATAAAAAATAGATACTAATAAAATGCATAAAATGCAATTAGTTTTTACGGTACATTTAATTTTATTTCTAATATCAATTGTGTAAACCCTGAGATACAGGTAAGCATATTCTATATAAATCTCTAAAATTTTTACTTTATTTATAGTATTTATTTTAAATCATTTTATTAATTTAATTTTCTATTATTTAAGACATAATGAACAATAAATTTAACTATAATTAAACATTTAAAAAAAAGATTTGCCTTATTTAAAAAAAATTAAATTATAGTGTAATAAATATAATATTATTCTATATTGATACATTAACAATTAACAAAATTGAATTATTTGCTTAAAAATTTATATTAAATGTAATATTTAAAATTAACACAACAAGAAAAAATTGTAGTAAAAAATATATTGTAATTTCAAAAATAACAATTTATTTAACAGACTGATGATGTGCTTTAATTAATTTTCATTTAACATAACTTAAGTACTGGTGAAACCTAACACACAAATAACTATTACTTAAAACAAGAGGTCATCAAAAAAGTAACACTTTTGCTAATTATTTTTCCAGCGGTTGAATACAAATGAATGTCTAAAATATTTAAATCTCGAGTAAGGATTCACTTAAATTCATTGCAAACTTTTCGTGATTTTTTTAATAATCTATTTTACCTTTTAGTAAAATACATACAGTTTTATATTTTTATTTGTTACTAAAATTTTTATTAAAAATTATTCTAATAGAAGAAATTTAAGATTTAAAAAAAATATAATGAAAGTTTTATAATATTTTTAAATTCATAATTTTCTAATATTTATTTAATAAAATCTAATTAAGTATACAAACATGTAATTTATAAAATGTTATAAAATTTAATTTGAAAATCATGAATTTTATATATTCAATACTATATAATACTGTATAATATTTTATATACATTTATTTCTGTACTTATCTGTTGTTGTAATCGTAAAATATTTCTTATGAAAGAAATGTTATAATAATAATAAATACAGTATTTGTAATAATAATAAATATTTGAAAAATTCTTTTTGTGATAATCAGTATTTAATATAAAAAAATACTATATTTTGTTGTAAATAACATAAATATTTTATTATGGATTCCATAAATTCTCAATTTTAATGTATTACTATAATAAATCTTTAAATAATAATAAGCACTTATTTTTGAGGTTTTTTATTGTCAATAAAATTTTAAAATTTTCAAGGATGATAAATTAAAATACCAATTAATTTTTTCAATTATAAAATTAATTAAAAAATATTATTATAATTTTCTGTAAATTTTATTGAAATTTTCAAACAAATTATACAGTATTTGTTATAATTCAGAATGTTTTTAAAATAATATAACGTTTAATTGAATTTAATATTTAAATGATATTATATATTATTACTAAATTATAGTACTGTATATATTATATATGAATTTACAGTATATATTAGAAAATGACAATTTAATTAATTTCATAGATATTTGACATTATATTACATACAATACCTGATCGTATGGATTGGCATCGAGTGCTTCATTGCATACTTCAATAGATTTATCAAATTTTCTTCTTTTAAATAAATTTATAGCAAAAAATAATGGATCCAATTGTTCCATACTTTTTAAATATAAAAATAGTCATCCGATTTCATATAATTGTCTTTAATTTATATCATATCAACCATTATTACAAACTTTGCTATTTGTTATGCTTTTTATTATAGCTTAGCTTCTCTATGGCAACTCATCGATCAAAATAACTAAAATATATTATTATAATTTGTAGATATTTTTGGTCACAAATAAAATACAAAGAACTAACACAACAATGTATTCATTTAATAAATTAAATGCATTTTATTAGATTAAAAGTTTTCGATATAATTTTTAATAACATATAAATTAATTTATACAAGTGTTAACATTTAATTAAAATAATTTCATTTATTATAACATATTTGTGTGTTTCACAATATTTTATAATTATTTTTGTAATGAGTGAAAATCGCATCAAAATTTTGTTGTTAACATTTTTATTAAATATTATCAGTGGTGTCATTAATATACTGAAAATTACAATATTATGTTATCATAAGATATAAAGTGCATAATTAGGTGCATAACATCTTTCCATGTAATGTAACGCTAATACAGTATATGTATAAATTCAAAATAATTAATTCACACAATTTTAATATTTATTTAAATCATAATTAAAATAATCCAATCAATGACAATCATAATAATAATAATTTTGTCAATGAATTGAATTAAATTTTGAAATGTTTTTTGATTGTCTACTAAAAAAAACTAATTCTGATAAAAGAAATAAATCATAAAGAGTTTAATATAAACCAAATATACTATTTTAGAGGCATATCGTGTGAGTGTTTGAGGCAAAAGGCACATCAAATATATTGTTTTCATAATTAACTTGAATTATGGTTTAAAAGATGTAAAACATAAATAAAAAAAATTATCAATCATTATAACACTGGGAAAACATTGAAAATGTAGAAAAAGTGAAATAAATAAAATAAAAAATTAAAGTAAAGTAAATACAATAAATGTAACAATAATGTGAAAACAACTCATCAAAGTTGTCAATACAATGATTTCATTATATAAACTTATATTTATAAAAGGGTCGGAATGTTGGATACGTTTCAGTGAAACTACAATTTGTTGAACAGGTGTTCAATGGATTCAAAAATAACAATAATTACAGATTATAGATATATTTATAATATATTGTTTTAAAAGTATAACATTAATTAAATGAGTAAAATGTTTCATGTAATTGTGTTAATCAAACTTATTTGAACACATTTTAAACGCCCATTCAATTAATCTGATTCTTGACAATAATTAATCCAAGAATTATATATTATTAATATATTCTCAATACTATTCTTCATTTATCTCTTAAAATGTTAAGCAATAGCTTAATACAAGTCAAACCTTCAATTTATTTGAAGATTTATTTATTATTATTAATTATATTTTACATATTATTCATTTATTTAGATTATTTTCAATAATTAAATTATGTGCAAATATATGAAAACAATTTTTCTTAGCAAATTTTTGAGTTATAAAGAAATATATTATATTATATATTAAAGCAATAGCTTATGCTAAAAATGGTTAAACTCATTATTATTAAATTATTATTATTATTTCTATTATTAACACTGCTATTTTAGAGACTCATAATAATACCAAATTGCACGTCAAAGTGATTTGTAATTAGAAAAGTGTTAGAAATTTGTTTAAAAATGTGATAAATGGATGAAAAGGTGTTGTAGTGTAGCAAACATTTACTAATTTCATGTATTTTTTTTATAAAACAAATTAATACAGTCAACAACAACAACAACAACAATAAAAAATAAATAAAATAATGAAATTGTAAATAAAAAATAATTATTTTGATTGATTGTATGATTGACTGATTAATGAATGACTTAGATATGAATAATATAAATGTGTATATATTGTATTAGAGGCACAAAAACGAGTAGTCAATAGTCAATAGTCGATTGAGTGTCGAGTGTTTCTATCACATCGTTATCTATTTGCCAGTCCTATAGTATTATCAATACATTCCTATACTTGAGTTTCTCTGTCTTTCATAGAGTTGTTATATTTTTCGAAATCTGACGTTAAAATAAAAATAAAATTTTTAAAGTCAACAAAAAACATGATATAAATGAGAAAATTAAATTCACTTCAAAAAATTGGTTTAAGTTTTTCAAATAAAATCATAGAAACGTACTTAAAATATAACAACAAATAAGGATAAGTAATTGAATCGAAAATAATTTGAAAGAAATTCAATAAAACAGAAAACAAAGTCATTTTAAGTGATGACAAGTAATCAGTAATTTGTAAAATCGGTCATAACTTACGCTCGAGAACTGCCGCCAGACGGTCATCACCTGCTTTGGCCGCTAATTGTTTTGGTGTCAGTCCTTGTTTGTCAAGTATGAAAAGGGATGCGCCATAAGAGGCAAGCATTGTACAGATGGTGTGCTGTCGGTGTGCAGCAGCCGTATGCAGAGCTGTCTGTCCTCTTTCCGATTCAATCAAATCAATCAGATCTGGCGTTGCGGCAGACAATAGGAATCTCACGATATTATCGTAACCATAATGTGAGGCGTGATGTAGTGCTGACTTTCCTATTGTTATTATTTGTTATAATATAATTAGATTTTAAATAAATTATTAGAAATAATAAATTTATAAATAAAATATAATTCATTACAATGTTAACTAAAAAAATATTTGAGATTCAAAAAGATTACTAATTTACATTATATGAAGTTAATTAACTTATTAATATTATCATTTTTATAGTTAGTGGTAATAATAAAATTGAAAAACTGGTAATTTAATACTTTCATTTGTGATAGCATTTAATTGAAACTATAATTACAAATTTCTTTTAGTTTATTTGAAATAAATTATAAATACCTTTGTTATCAATTGCCAAAAGACTGATCCCTTTGTGATGTAATTGTTTGAGTAATGATAGGTCACCTAATTTGGCCGCATGTAAGACCTCGTCTTGAGAGAAATCTTGAGGAATACTAATAGGAGTGAATTTATTTGAGAACCGGTTGTCATAAGTTGATGAACTTCCTACAAGACTATCATCACTAGATGACAGATTTGGTGTATTTATAAGACGATGTGTTATAAGTTCAGGATTGGTACCAAAGAAATCAATATCGTCTTTATCTTCGGGAGGACTTTCCGGATCAAGAATGAAAAGATCATCGTTACAGATGTCGACAACAAAATGCAAGTGTTCTTGAGCTCTGTCTATGCGAAAGAAGCGCTCAGCTGTACAGGCTATCAGAACCAATTGAATGAGACATGAGATCAGATTTAGTGACAATCAGTTGTGATATATTAAGACAAGCAAATACTTACAGTCAACGAAACACCAGTCATGCGATACAAACTTTGTGGTGACACTGGTATTATCAGTACCGGACTGCATAACACTATAGTCCTTATCTCGCATTAATTCATTGATTTTAGTCCTAACATTAACTAACTCCAGGTTCTGATCGATACACAACGTTCCCAATAGAAGTGCTGTCATTGTATATTTGAATACAGAATAATATAATATATATGAGAAATAAACTCTATATATTCAGCTTATTTACTGTACTGTATGGGCATTATATTGAATACTATATATTACATAATATATAAACTTAATTTAATATTCAGAGACTAAGACTAAGAAAGATAAAAATATAAATAATCGATAGGAAAGCACTGATATATTTGCAATAATATGTATTCATAAGACATAATAATCACTTACATATTTCCTTAAGTTTATCTTTATTGTAATGATAGGTCTCGTAGTCATTTAAATTCAATTTTCGCACTTTTATTGTTAACTTCTCAAGTGTAGGACTAATGATATGAAAATAAAATACAAATCATATACACATAACTAGAAATAAATCTACATTAAAGTGGTATTAATATATAAGTAAATATTTATTTGAATCACATACACATATTTGATAGGATTGTGGCGGTTTGGTTTGGCGATCAAATTTGCTTGATTTCTCAATTGTAAGGTTATAATCGATGGTAGGAGACGACAGGGTTCACCATCCACTTGCATAGGAATAGTACGTGTGGTTATTATTTTAGCACTTCTACACTGAGCAATACACGTGCCGTGTCCTCCAGCTTGCAATAGAGGCTATCATTGATCAAACATTTCATATTAATATTAATAATAATATTGATTATCGATTCATATATGGTTTCATTACATGTATAATAAATCAAATTTCCGTCATTTTTTTATAATATATGTCTCATATATTTTATTAGTAGAAATCGCTTAATTGATTAACTATATATATGATATAAGTTATGCTTTAAATCATACTTATAATAATTTTGTGTAAATATGATGAAATAACCAAATAAGTGATAAATATTAATATCTACACAAGTAAAACATTATCTACAAAATATTACCAATTGAAATAAACATAAGTTATTGCAATTTAATTAAAACCTATTAACTTAATTAAACATCTAGCTTACAGTGAAATAACAAATACATATTATCATCAACAGCTTAATGTTTGTATAATTTTAATTTTATTATTTAATATATATTTCTAATATTTTTTATAAAAAAAAATAATTATAACTAAGCATTATTGGTAAATGTTTCACCTATTATAAAATTATACATGACATTGAATATAATGTTAAACAATATCTTAAAAATTTAGTTGTATAATATTTATTATAAAATATTAATTATGTTAGATAAAAGATTGCTTTTATTAAAATCTTTCTTATTAAATTAATAGAGTAAACGGTATGTATAATTATATTACAGTAAATTGTTATCACTTTAACTAAAAATATATAAATAATTGCAGCACTTTTTTTTTGTTTACCGTAGTCTTAAATTATTGTTTTGTAAAATATTGATTATTTCTAAATATTCTCATTTATCTTCAATAATATTCCTTTAATATACTGTATATTGATTTATGTAATTATATTTTTGTTGTTAATTCAATTAATTTCTATAATGTCTTAAGAAATATTTACTATTATTTATATATATTCAGTAGAATACAGTATTTACAGTAAAACATAATTAGACTTTAATTTAATTTTGTATTAGTATTTCATCAAAAAGTTAAGTATCATTGATAAAAATAACTTAAGAGTTATGTATCGTAAGCTTAATTATTATAATAAAACTAAATACTGTATATAATTACATAATAATGTTGATCAAAGTATTAACTTTTAATAATATACTTTAATTACTTACCAATTGATATGTAGTTAAACCAATAACTTCAATGAGTCCATCGTCAGTCCGGGGAGTTTCATATGATGGTGAACTAGAGCCCCAGGGTCTGGTCCCACCCCCGTAACTATAAACATAAAATAGATAAATCATTATAAGTCAAATAACTTACAAGAGATATCAAATTACCAAAATAATTTATTATTGTATTTTTATTTATTTTAGATTGTATGTCATATATAAATATAATAGTATATACAATGTGTTTTATGTATTGATTTTAGTTTAATATAGTAAATATTACCAAACATTATAGAGTATAATGTATATAATTATTATCGTAAATATTATATATTGATAGAAATGACAGTACAATAAAATGTAGTTAAAGATTACAATAAGTCTTTGTCTTTTCATTTGCATTTCTATACATTTTTAATTTTCTTATCAATATATTATAAATTAAATAAAGTTTTATTTAAAAATTTAATAATTATTATAAAATTTTATATTTAAAAATATAATTTATACAAATGTCTTTAATATAGTGTAGTTAATAAAAATAGATATTTAAAATAATTTTATAAATTATAATGCAAAGTTTTTATTAATTAATTTTTGACAAATAAGTATTTAAAAAATTATTTTAAATCATATACAGTATTTGTATGTGGTATGAAAGCTAAACATTATTATAAGAAAATGTGAATATTCATAATAAAATTGTTGTATTAATATTAAATTGCAATATTATATTTTATTATTAATATGTATGGAAATTGTATGATATTTTATGATATTGTGCTGTACATCAATTATATAATAAAATAGTGTACACTGTATTACAACAACAAAAAGCGATGTCCACTATACAGTAATACACTGTACAGTATATAAATTATTTATACAGTATTTCTCAGTAGACATTATTTGTTAGATAAGAGTATTGAGTAATAAATCATTTTTTATACATTTATGATAAATATAAAAGTAATGCAAACCTCGAAATATTGAGAAATAAGACGGAATGCACTTTAAGTTCTTTGAGACGAGAGGTTAGGTCGACTCCATCGCACTGTAATGTAATATAATTGCAGAGATCTTTCCATTTGCGTTGTAATAGATCTTTGCCACCCATCTGTCCGTAAAACATTTTATTTCTCAGTCTAGAATTGAATCGTTCGGGATGTGCCTCCCGTGCCTCATGAAATGATAAGGCTATGTGTGCGTCCACTCCAATGGAGAAGTAATTGTTGACCACATTTAGTGGAAGTTCATGTTTGGCGCCCTCATCTTCTTTAGGGTTCAGTTCAGTGGGAGATATACTTGTATTTCGTTCAACTTTAAGATTCCAACGGTCCAATTGTATCACTTCTCCATCTTTAATGTTTTGAAGTATTTTCGAGATCGGCTCATCAGTATAACTGCCGCCCCAACCCAAAGCACGGGCTAAATCATTACCCGTACCTAATGGTAGTACCGAAAGTGGTGGAGGTGGGTATATAGCTATTTCATCCAACACTGATAGCACCCAACCGGCTGTTCCGTCACCACCACAGGCAAGAATCCGTAAATTATTTACCTTTTTATATAACTCTAAGCCTAACTTAGGACCGCCCTGTGAGAGATCAAACACTTGACGAGGATTTAGAAGCCATTGAAACTTTTGCATTAATTTTGAGCCTTGATTTCCACCGCTTTTAGGATTTATAAACACTAGTAATGGCTTAGATGTCGATGAGGGGATTGGCTTAATGGCAAAACTCCTGTGCTGGCCAACCATCTCTTTGTTTGGCGGTACAGATGTACCATAAAGTGCGTGAAGACTGTGGTGCAAACTATTATCAACGGTAACATTAGGAGGCGTCGACTCATCCTTTTTTGTCCGTTTCTTGGAAGAAGCTCTCTTCGTTTTTGGTGATCGTCTTATCGATGACTTGAAAGATCCCTAAATATAATTTAAAACATTTCATTTTTAATGGTTTAGTCTATGCTTTCATTATTATTTTTTTTTGTTATTTCTAAACTAATAACAAATAATAAAAAAAGAAATAAAAACTTTTCTTAGATATAAAAGATTTGTCAATAGTATAGGAAATTATAAACAAATATCTTGTTTTGAACGGAAATTAAAGTTTTAACGAAAAATCAAGCAAATGGATGAAAATAATGATAATAATGTTTTGATACCCTTCGGGGAAGTTTGACGATCCAAGAGGGGGGGACTAAGAGGTCTTGATTAATACCGAGGGGACAATTCTCGCCAATCCTTTGCATATTAAAACAATTTTCTTTATTATGAAACGCCGTTTTACACCACGAGCAAGAAATGGCCACAATCTCCTGTTACCGTATTTTTTGCATTTTTATTAATTTTTAGTCAATCCATATGTCTTAAAAAATGCTTACTTTGTTGCCAAATGAAAGTTTTGATTGAAACGATTTGCCGCACTGTTTGCATCTTCCCTTTTGATGTCGTCTATGCACCCAATGGTGATGTATCACAGTTTGCTATACATTTTATTCATTATAAACATTATTTTATTATTTTGTTTACTTTTATATAATCCAAGTATAAGTAAGGCTTTTTAGGCACTTATTATTATTATTGCTAAAATATATGACACAATAAATATGTTTGGCACTCACTTATGGTTACATACATTAAAATTATTATTTGCTAACTTTCTCCAAATAAACAATTCTCTCATTTTTATTAATACATTAATAGTAAAACAATTTAAATAAACAATTTTACTAATATTTCTACACTAAAATAATTTCTTTATTTATAGATAATCTTTTTAAATTAATATACACATCAACTAGTTTTAAAATAAAAATTAATTAAAAATTATAGTTCAAATTCTACAAGTTTATAACATAATCAAAATAATAAACCTAAAATTGTTTTAAATATTTTTTAAATATAAAACTTTTGGTCATTGTTTGTTTATACATCAATAACTTGATAGTGATATTATAAAATATAGATCGGTATGTATTTAATAACAATCAAATATAAGTCACTTACTTCTCTATACTGTCTGACCCCGACATCTTTGAAAGTGGGTTTACAATGAAATTTCATTTTATCGATCAAAATGCTTATACATCCGGTGTGGGCCGTTATCTTACAGGCCGGACAACATAGTCGAGGACCTTGTTTCTAGACATCATAAATATTAATATCATTTATAACTAATTTAATAAAATTATCATGCAAATTTAATAAACTCATATGATATATAGGTATAGTTTATTGTAAAAATTTAATATAAATTTAAATGGTCCAAAAAATATTGCCGGTACAATAACTTCATACTGTATTATACATTCATTTATTAATTTACAAACCGTATAAAATATCAAATGTTTGCGCATTACCTCAAATTGTTATATCAAACTTTATTATAAATGTATAATACAGTACAGTATAAGCATTTTACTAATACTACTGTATATGTGGTACTATAATATATTTAATAAATTTTTAATTAAAATTATTATTATTAAAAGCAAAATATATTTTGTGATAATTCTTATTTAGAATATAATTGTAATATTAATTCAATTTTCATCAAAAATCTTTATAGAAATCATTTCAAAAAAATCATTATTTAGTTTTAGCCAACAATTGAAAAAAATGTGACATAAAAAATGAGATTGTGATTCATTTTAAGGTTTATATATTATATTTAAAATAGATGTTTAATAATAAAATGCAATCGTTTGCACAAATCAAAGGAAATATATTATCACAAAAAATACATAAAGTAAATGTTTTTGTGTGGAAAATAAATCGATAAAAAATGCATTACTTATCTAAGTTATAACTATAGCATTAAATTTTCGAGAATTAAAATATCAAAATTAGTCAAAATTGGTCGATAGTCGGGAAGTGACAAAATCGATAAATTATATATATATTGTATTTATAATATCATACATATTTTATATCAAATTAATATTTAAATTAAATTCCCTATTTATAAATTAAAAAAATATGGGAAATCTCCGAAATATTCAAAGTCTAGTTATAACTAAAAAAAAGTTAACCAACTCTTGAAAACTGAATATCTTTTGCATTTTGTTTTACAATAACTACTGTATTATTAATTACAATAATAACATATGTTTTTAATAAGCAATTTTAAGATAAACAATAAATATCTAATAAAATAATTATAAAATTCATATGAAATGATTTGTATAACAATCACATACCGAACACTCGTTTTCTCCGACATAACAGATATCTCCCGAGGCATTGGTGGACACCCAAAGATGGTCGGCATTAATAGCCGATTCCTAACACATATAATAAAACATTATAAATCATTGTGTGGTCAGACATGTTGTTTGGTCAGACATACGCCCCAATCGGGAGCACTCCGTAAAGTGCGGGTCTCTCCACTTTCGGTCGATATCTTGATCTCTCCCTGAATAGCCTTCCTGTTGAAGACAAAACACATCACCCGTTAAATCAATTTGATTAGCACTTCATTAGTAATTTAATGTTAATAAAGTTAATCAACAAATAAAATCAAAAAATAAAAGACAACTTTTTTCGGCGCTTTTTAAACAAATAACTCTTCAAATCAATGATTATATGGATGTTGTCTTTAAAGCACATTATTATACATTATTATCACCATTAATGACATGACTAGCGGTCATATAGTATAAGACAACACTTTTTAGCAAATATTGTCATTAAATCAATATTAATATTAGTAACAAAAATGTAATCTAATAACTGTATTAATAACATAGATATCAAAATTATATACATTGAAAATATATGACAAATTTGTTTGATATTTACTGTATATATCCTACACTTTAAATGATTATAAAAATGTATTGAATGTCTCAAAAGGTGTACAACTTTTAGCATTTCATTTCAATTGTATATCAATTTATGTTTTTTCATTGATTATCATCACTGGCTTTGAATGACACAACACATACCAAACAACATATCAATCATTGAAATTTCATTGCAATTTAAAACTATATTTTTAATAAACATTTGACAAAAATATGTTCAAATAAATTAATAATAACTTATGATTTGTGTTTTAATTGAAAAACAAAATCATATTCAACTAAAAGCACTTATTATTACAAACTATAGTTATGTTATTATAAACTACTTTTAGTATAAATAATAATAATATTAATTACATTATATGTAGTCATGAATCGCCATAACATTGTATTCAATTGTATTATTATTTTATAATAATATTATTAAAAATAATTGTAAAATCAATTATATAGTAAAATAATAGAAACAAGTTTTGATATATTAATATATATTTAGTGATGTTATGTCACATCAATAATATGAGTAATAATTTGATGAATTGCTGTCACAATCATATTGATTGATATATTCATGTTTCAAATGACAATACATTTTACAAACTATAATAATATTTATTTTTTTTAAAAACTGGTTTAATATTCACGTTATTTGTGTGTTAATCATAAGCCGTCAAATTGTGTTGTTATTATACAAATCAAATTAACATCAAATACAGTGTAATACAGTATAGCATATACTCTATAGAAATATGACACTACAATAGCACCGGGACTTTCCCCTTCCCTGTGTTGCATATCATATGAATGCTCAGAGTATTGCCTGTTTTCACTGTTGAAGGCTGTCCTACCCATACATTACCTATCAGTTAGTTTGTTGTTAATTATTGATACAGTATTTTGAAATAGACTATAATATTGCTAAAACTTATACCAAACTACATGTATTAATATTATGATATATTTAGCCATATGTTGATAATTATATATTATATCTTAAAATTGTTAATATAATTAATTTGAACATATTTTCTATTTTCTTCAACAAATAACCCAAATATCATATATGATTCCCAAAATCATTTAGCGTAACAAATACAACAATTTTATTATTATATTCAATAATTTCTATAGTATTTAAGATACAGTAGTTATCAATTTTACATTTTTATCATTAATATAAATAATATTACTTTTAGTTTAATTAAAAAAAAATAATAAAGAAAACTTGTTATGACTTATAAGATGAAGATAAGGGTATTTTAAGGCATAAATTATTGCTATAACTATGTAATTATAAACATAAGTTATATTCAATTATTGATAATAAAACTCCTTTATTAAGGGTTGACGAGCCATAAAAATATGTGATTTACAAGAAAATCTCTGATAATATTATATTAAGTTTTAATTTTGATTTTATTTCACTCATGACTTAATGCTGGGAAACATTGAAGAATTTTTATTACATTTTGTAAATCAAATATAAATACAATATTTGTTTGTTGCTTATAAAGACATACAATATATCGTATGATATTTTTATGTAATGCCTATTCAATTGATAGGAAAACACATGAAATGACACTTAAAATAAAAAGTCAAAACAGAGAGAAGTTTACTATTTATTAAGTACTACTGCATTGGATTGTAATCATATACAGTATAGTGAATATAATAAGTTAGAGTACATAACGTTTATTTATTGTACCAATTTTGTCATTACATTTTATATATACAGTAGTTAAGTATAATATAAAGTATATATTATACCATTATAAGTACAATATTAAAGTAAAATTTATAATAACAACTAAATATTAGTATTTTTTATGTTAACATTTGAAAAACATTAAAATTTGTTGTAAAATACTAAAAACGTAATAAAATATGAATTCATTTTAATAATATCACATAATTCTAAAAAATATATTTTATATCCCAATATTAAAAAAATTCAATACTTGAAAAATTATAAATAATAGAAAATAGGTTTAGTAAATTTTAAATAATAATTTTAAATTACTATACAAGTTGTGACCAAATTGGTGAACAAGGTTTTTTTTTAGTATAACTAAATAATAAATCGAACTAGATTAAAATATTTTATTTAATATTATTGTTTATTGAACATATAAAATCATTTAGGTGCCTCCATGTTTTAGTACTGTAAATATATGTAACAAATTTTGATTAGTAAATATTTAATTACTTATCGCAAAAATAAATTAGAAAAATCATAATGAATTTAACAACATTTGTTTGTAATTTTCAGATTATTTTTACATTTTTCAATTAACTGATTTTTTTATTCAATTAGTTGATTAATCGGTATTAAAAACATTGAAAAATAATTTATTAAAATAAACAATATTTATAAATTGAATTTTCATAATTCATATGATCTCAACATTGAGATATAATTTATACTTGAGTTGTAATTTGTAATTCACAGCTTTTATTATACAAACACTTTTCACAGTAATGTTTATTCATTGAAAATACTGTACTTAACTTTCAGAATATATAATACTTATATAGTATATCACATTATAATTTATATTAATTCAATTTTTAAAGTTGTAATATAGACTCATATAATACAGTACTTTATATAATATGATACAAGTAATCATTAATATAAGACTTTATGTAAATTTTATACTTTTGTTACTCCATTTCCTTATAAACTTAAGACATTGCCTGTGGCTAAGCATTCAAATTTATAATTTAAAATTATATTAATTTAACAAATTATTATAAAGTAAATTTTTATAATTTGATTTTAAAATATTAAACTATTTTATGTCCATTTAAATATATATGACACACATGATAAACGAAAAATTATGATTAACTAATACAGTCCTTAATAGTGAATAATTATTTATATTTATATATCATTTCATAGATTTTTTATAGTAAACCAAAAAGGTTTCTTTGAATGAATAAATCAATCAATAAAACTTAAAAAAGAAGTTTTATGGTTTGAATTGCAAATTTTCATTTTATAAAATATACAGTAGTTTATTGTAAAATTATATTAGATTAAATTGAATAAAGTATTATAGATAATTTTGTCTAAAAATAAAATATTCAAATTTATAACTATTTGTAAATAGTATTTTGTTATATAATATATGTGTATATTTAAAAATTATTATCATTATATTTATACGCAATCTATTAAAACTCAATTAATAAAATTAATCAGATTTTGAATCAAATTATATAACATTAAAAATCTATAATAGAAATCATTTAGCGTTTGCTAACATCTGTTTTTGTCTTTTTATTTCTATTTTATTTCTTAATATTATTATTGTTTTGTTTGATCACAAAAATGTGTAAAAATCTTTTTCTTGCTATAATGTATGATATATTATAAACTTAGAATAAAATTGCATTTATCTTTTAGGTTAGAGATCAATATATACTATATATATATAAAATCATATTATATATGAATCACATTTGTAGCCTATCTATTGCTTAGACAAACAAAATAGCCAAATAAAATCAACAGAAACTAAAAAAATGAAGTTATTGTTTTGTTGGGAAAATTGTATACAAATGGAAATTTTAGTAATAGAATATTGTATAGAATAAAGTGCTGTAATTTAATTGATATTGATTTTTGTTATATTTTATATTAGAGTACTTTAATAATATTTTTTAATTTATTATATATATATACTGTATGTACAAAACTTAAAATTTTGACATGTTTAATAAAGTAAAATATTATAATTATTGATTATCTAAATTATTATTTTAAATATACTGTTTATGAAATTACTAATTTGTGTGACTTATTGCATAATTGTGACGCAAATAGTGGTTACAAATTAATATTTCATTATTAACTTATAATTATTTGTCAAATTTGTAACAATACTTAAATAGTAATTATATTAATAATACTAAATTTATTTATAAAAAATACAAAAATTACATTTATTATTTACGCTACATTGGTTTTGAATTTAAATATATATAACATATTTTAAATAAAACATTGAAATCTGATCTAAAATGAATCGTAAATAAAGTTGTTAATTAATATGTGGCAGACTTTCTGTGAGAAATCAATTATAATAATAATAATAATATTATTATATTATTACTATTATTATATTCTGTATTTACAAATATATGTGTAATATTTGTTGAATAAAAGTAATTTAGACTAAAATTCAGTAATTTATTACTAAATAAGTGTCACTTTGTTTGTGTTTAATGTTATTTATGTTTTAAATAATTCCATTTAAATTCAGTTGACATTTGGTATTTAAATTACAATACACTATATTCTGTAAGTAATCTTATATATTGTATTATATATAAGTCAAAAATTATTTTTTTTAAACTAATAAAAAATTTAAATTATCTGCTGTTATTTATTATTGTTATTATATTGTATATTGTTGTATTGTAGATTTTATATAATGAAGTAATAAATTTAACTTATATAATTATTTGAGTTATAATAGTTGAGAGCATTTAAAAAATAGTTTTAATTAACAGCTTATAAATTAATTAACATTTTGTATAAGATTAATAATAATAATAATAGAAAAAATAGTGTTTATAAAATTTTCGCATAAATTAAATAATCAGTAAATTAGATCTTTTATTTATTTAAACATTTTAATCTTAAAAATACAATTAATAATAACTAACAATATGAAAATTTATAATACTATATATAGATATCCATTAGTAAAATAAGGTTAATATATTTGTCGGCCAGTTATTGCCGGTTAATATATTTGTCGGCCAGTTATTGCCAGACAGTTGCGTAAATAAAACAAAACATTGGTTAAAACAAACGATTATTTTATTATAGCAAAAAAAACAATGAAATATAATAACTGAATAATACGATAACAAAACATTTGATTATATACAGTACTATACAGTAGTTCAGTATCGGTATAAGTGTTGTGTTAAATATATGTGTTGAACTCTATGGTAATATTAATGTTTTTCAAATATTTTAAATAATTATATAAATAAAAGACCAAAATTTAGTTGAATTCTCTTTTTCTAATTAAATAGATACCAATTTAACAAACTATTTTGATTTACTATATTTAAACTATATGTCAATTTTTTAATTATCTCATTTAAAATATAAATATATACTATATATGAATAAATTTATTTAGTACTTATATTTTTGTTAATTAAAACACAAAATATGAATAGTTGATAAAATTTCATATACTGTAAATACTATAATAAATAAATGTTATACTCATTTACTCATGGTTATTTTGTATTATATATTAACTATTATACAACATATTTAAACCAGATAATAAATTTAACCTATTCAGTAAATTTTGTTTTTTATATGTAAAACTAAATAATGAATACCATATATTAGTCAAATTTGTAAATTATTTGTTTTATGTCATGTAAAATACAGTATATCTAAATTATATATAGAAAATATTCAATTTTTACACTTATTATCATTTATTATATTAAATGTATTTCAAATAACTAGTATAATATGAATGTTTTGTATTTTTATAAATTTATTCAGAATTGTATTTTTATATAATAGAACTGTCTTTAGAATATTCTGTGTTTACAAAAGTGTATAAAATTTAAATAAGATATCGATGTCTTATAAATGACAGTTAAATGTGAAATTCAATATTCCTAAAAATGTTTGCCAATAACTAACCATACGATAGTAGCATTCAATTATTTTTTCAAATACACTATACAAGTTATGTTAAAAAAAATATTTATAACTTTAGGAATAAAATCTATAATAAAAATAAAAGATTTAAATCAAATTTTCAACACAAATAACATAATTCTTTACATGTTTTGAAAATGTATTAAATGAATGAATGTTTTGTTATTTCTTAAAACAAGAAACTATTTAAATGCAAACTATTCTTAATTTATCTATTGTTTGCCAAAAAATACATTTTGTTTTATCTATTAGTACAATATCAATATAAAATTACATTATAATAAAATATAGCCATAAATTTAATAAATATAAATATTTTTTTCTCAAACTGATCAAAATTCATTATTTGTACTTTCATATAGTATATTTGTATAAAATTATCAGCAAAAATATCATAAAAATACTATCAAATAATGTTAATGTTATACTTATTAAATTATAAAAACCACATATATATATATAATATAGAACATTGAAATAAATTTAAATTTGGGATTTCCACTTCAATTCAATATCTATACTATTATTATATAATATACTCTACTGTTAATAACTACAGACATATAACAATACTAATATTATTGTATAGTAATTTATTATAATAATACATTATAGTTTGGTTTGAATTATAAACTTTATATGATATTTAAATTAAGTAAATAAAAATATATTTAATTTATATTTTAATATTTATAATAATAACTTAATACATGTATATAATGTATATGAAAATTATTAATGTCAATATTGATCTTTTTATGTGTTAGACAATAACGCTTCGGGTGGTTATCAGCAAAATTTTAGTCAAGTAAAAAATTATATTTATTATAATTGTCAATAATATTATATTTGATTTGATTAAAATTATATCAAAATAACCATTTTCCCATTTGACACTATTATTGATAATTTAGACAAAAAGTATTATACAATAAAACTAAGACTTGGATTCATTTCAAAATATTTCTTTTATCAAAATCGTTTAAACTTTTATATATATTACTATAACATTATTATACTGTATTAGTTTATTATTTTATTTATATTAATTCAAGTTTAAGTGTTTTTTGAAACTACAATTAATGTTTAAATATATCTATAATTCTATATAGATTAGACAATTGCAATAAATGTTATCAACTTAGAGCGATAAATATTACAAGTATTTATTATCTATAATATATATTTTTAATTGATAATAATTTCAATGACAATTTGTTTACTATACAGTATATAATAATTAAAATATTATTTTATATATAATTAAAAGTGTTTTTATTTTAATCATAAATTTTGTTAAATAAAACAATTTATCGCAACTTCTGTTGGGAAATATTAATTGAAAATTAATTGAAATATTATAAACATATTTCTTCAGTTGTGTAGATAACTAAATATTATAATATACTATAACAGACAAACTTTATTAGACAACCATAATATTATCAATGCATTAAAATAAATTATGAGTATATTTGAAAATTACATAATACCAATGCATTGTATATACTGTACTATATACTGTATATACTGTATCTACCAGTGTTGGCAGAGATAAAGTGTATGTATAATACAAAGCGTATTATACAGTATAATACAATGTAAATTACATGACAATTTTGGCTTACAAAAAAATTTTAGCGCCACCAAGTAACAAAAATACTAAAATTCACAAACAAACACATGTTTTGTAATAATAATTATTTTTTTATTTTGAAAAAAATTGAAATTAGCTATTCAATTTAATTCTGGTATTGAAATATATTAATAAAATAATTAATATTAATTTTTAATAGTTTTAGAAAACAACGATTTTAATAACGATATTGAAATTATTTAATAATAATAATTTTAATAAAAAAAATAAATATTTTATCATTGTTAATGTAATTTTTCTATATTGTAAAATATATCCAATACATTGTATTTTAATGTATTTTACAAAGTTGAAATTGAAAACCTTGTATTTTTCCAACCCTGGTATCTACTGTAATAAAGTTTGCTGTTATAGTATATTATTCAATATAACTACATTTGACCAAATGAAATAAATAATGTATATGTTATTTTTATGTTGTTTTACTTATATCTATTTTGATACTAGGTATAAACACTTTCAACAAATAAATTTGTTTTTTATATAAATTAAATATTATTTATATAATACACTGATAAATCAAAAATGTGTGGTACAGTTCATTCAGAATAAATACATTACAAACATAGTTTGCAAATCTTATTGCAAAATGATACATAAAAATAAATTTTAACTTCAAAAAAACAAAAAAAAAATCGTTCAGTTCAATTAAATAATTTTAAATGAAATATTTAGGTAAAATAGATCCTAAAAATTATGAAATTTATAAAAAAAAACATCAAAATATCTAACATTTTATTTTAGCTGAATATATTTATCATAAGCATTAATAATAATTACAATTTACATGTATTATAAATTATTATTTGACATATAAAGGCAAAGGTATAGTTGATATAATAGAGAATTTCAAGTAATGTCTTATATATATATATTATATACTGTAGATTCTGCTCTCATAACTATTTAAACCAATGATATTATCAACATTGAAAAGATTACATAAAATCGATATTTTCTTAAACTAAAAAAACTCGAAGCAATGCATAAACTTATTATATGACATATAGTATTGAGTACTACAAAGTATGAAAAGTTGAAGTATTTGTGAAAATAAAAACGTCACTTAATAGCAAAATCTGTATAAAAAACATTGAAAATCAAATCCATTAGACAACATAACATACACTGCGTTTTAAAAGTAGAGTCAAAGACTTTTTAAAAATAGTGAAACACAAGACTTACTATATTTACCGGTTTTGACAATTCAATTAACTCTTAATATAATCAGTGAATTATATTATATTTATACTATTTATATGTTTATATGTGTAATGTTTTGACTTATTTTTCAGTTAAGGGTTAGTTAAAAATTATTTGACGAGAATTATAACGAGAAGTAGTGTTAGTTTAAGAGTTCCGGATCAAGACTTAGACGTTTTACAAGAGTTTGTCTTAAATTTATGTTTAGAGCTAACTCTCACTTTAAATGCAAAACACGCTAATAATGGCACAAATGGTCTCATTTATTGGATTTATAGAGATTACTATATATACTGTATAAAAATAAATAGTGTGAGTGTATTAAAAAAGATTTCTGACTTACAATTCAATGTAATGTTAGAAAAAGATCAAACAAAACAGTCAATTCTCATTAATAAACTAATAGTTTGGTATTAAAAATGTATAAAAATAACAATTATAATATATATATATATATATATTTACCGGTATATACTGTATATAAGTCATATAATAAGTTATCCCTAACTCTATGTGAAATAGTAAGAGAAATCTTACTTAGTAGTGATGGGAGAGTGTCTGTGAGGTGGTATTATAAGATAAGGTCCGCCCGGGTTTGTCGGCAATACTATGTCCACTGAACGCGATCGATGGGCTTTAGGTCCAGTTTCAAGAACTTCTATGTCATTCCTTTTGGGCACTTGTAGCAGATATGGCGAGTCTACAGAAGCAGATCTATGCTCTCGAGAACCGGTCAATACGGGTACCTCTAATGACACTACAGTTATGCCACTTCCAGTGTCTTCCTCTTCTTCGTGAATATGAATTTCTGTTATGTCTGGCGGCGGACATAACGTAACAATAGGTAATCCTTCTAATGGTTCAATGGTTTCACACTCTCCTAACTCATCCAAATCATAACTCGTGTTCTGACAAGACGTCAAACCGTTTCTATCGGTATCCGATATATCTTCACTATCATCGCCATAAACAGATGAACCCTCAGAGCTAATTGAACCGGATTTGGATGGAGGAGGAGATGATATAGCTTTTAAATATTCTTCCATAAGAGAGCAATGATGACAGTCCTTAAAACCCGTAAAAGGAGATGAAGAGCCCGCACCTGAACCACCACTTGATGAACCAGAAGATGATCTTCTAATTAATAATTTCCATTTGGGAACATCTAGTGTATGACTTGATGGTAAACTATCATTTATGGTACGAGCAGTGGCCGAATCAAAAGATCGTGACCTAACACTTCGTGTGCCAGACTCGGGAACATTCAACTTATTGCTGTCGGTGTCAATGTCTGAACTGTTTACAGACTCCTTGAGTCGGATCTCATCGAAAGAAACACTTCTCATTTGTTTGCTGTGTTGTCCCACTTGAGGCACATTTAATGTGATTTGTTGTATCGACAGCTCATCCTCGTTATCTACCGATTCGTTTGGATTCTTTACATCTCTTAATTTAAGTACAATCGTATGTTGAAGTTGTTGTTGCTGTCGATGGTGTTGTGGTGTCTGATTGAGCTCTTGAGTATCATTTTGTCGTTGATTGTACTCATTATAGAGTGTTTGTTGTTGATGTTGTTGTTGTCTTTCAATGACCAGTTGGTGGTGATGTTGTGCCTGTTGTTCGAGAGTAGGCTGTCTTCTCCGGAAAGTTTCACGGAGTCTATGCATAGCTTTTGAAATATTTTGAAAAATATTGAAACAGTTGTCTGATAACTCTGGGTCTCAATTATTTCATATTATTTTGAATCACTTAAGTTTAAGATTCGTATTTAATTTGTTACTAACTATAAACTTGATATTCATATCTATTATATTATGTACAATAATAGTTTAACAGTTGATTTACTGTATCATATGATAAAGTATTAGCAAACTGTTTGTAAGTGAAGCCAATTGACAGATAGAGAGGGCTTTGTTGGCAAACCATATATTGATTTGTTGTTATAGATGTCAATACATTAACATTTCAGTTGATATCAACTCTTCAAGTGTTCACTCAATAAGCAATGAGTTAGAGTTATCAGACATTCAATTGATTCAAAATACACACAAAACTTGACAACAAACTTATTGATTAATAGATGTAATATACACTGTATAATGAATTGTAGATTTCAACAGATAGTGAGAAAGGGAGAGAGAGAGAGAGAGAGAGAGAGAGAGAGAGAGAGAGAGAGAGAGAGCTTAAAGCAATTAAGAGAGCACTGAGAGCACAGTTTGATGTCTCAATACCCCTCCAAATGCATTATATAATAATTTATTATATGTTTTGATACAACTTAAGGGTTTACACTATAAATATATTGATAATTATTAATGAAAATACACTTACAAATTTCAAACAATTTGTTTTATGCTATTTAAAAGTGAGATTATATGATATGACAAATACTTATTTAAATTTAAAAATATAACTGATCTTAATAGTGATATACATGAAGCAAACATTAAATTAGTTGTCATGAATTGAGTCAAAAATATTATTTCATTATATTATTTTTTAAAACAAATGTCTCACTAATTTTCCGTTATTATTACTGTATCATACATTCACAATATTAACATAAAGTAATAACAAAAAAATCAATAGTATTTATAATAATATATAGTAAAAATTTATTGCTTGAAATACATGAACTTATAAGTTGAGTTTGCATTAATATACAACTATAATAGTATGTGTGTTAATTATATTAATATAGTTTTATGTTAATTTAACATTTTTATTTGATAAAGCAGTTGATTGTTTGAAAAAATAGTTGTAAAAAACTTATTGATATCATTGAATGATTTAAAGGAATGTTAAAACCGGAACTTTTTAAATGTTTATATTTAGTTAACAATGAATTCAATAGAAATATTCAAAACTATGGGGAAGTGTATTGAGTGACACATAAACAGCTGAGTTGTAGCCAATTCTGTACACACACTCTCTCTCTCTCTTTCTCTATAACTGTTATCACCGATACTTAACACACAAATATGTTTTCAGTTGACGCAAATGTTGTCTCCCAACCATACACTGACTGACATTATTATTATAATACTAATAATAATTTCATAAAAACATAAATTTTTTATTATTTTCAATTTAATTCAATTGCAATTATCATTTATTAATAATAATTTATACAATTGAAATACAATATTTAGTGAAGTTATCTTTTCAATAGACGTCGAAAATAAATAATACTTTTGAATTTTCAATGAGTTATGTTGTGATATTAATTTAAATATAAGCCACTAAATCATAAATGAAATATTTCTGTTCAGAAAATGTGTCAAATAATAAATATTTAAAATTTGTATTTATTAATATAAGAAATAACTTATAAATTTATGTTAAACACACATTATGTTTAAATAAAACTTTAATAGCTATTGAAAGTTAGAAAAAAATATATACAACTTTTGTATTGTTATTCAAATAATAATAAGAAGGAAATATATGAAAGTTTTGACATAATCTTTCAAATTGAAAATCAGTGAAAATACAGATATGAGAAACACTTTTATTATATTTATATCACATAATCATTATTATTAGTTTGAAATGAAATGCAATGAATGTAATCACTCGACAATCGACTTGAGACTCGTCTCTCTCTCTCCCATTACATCTAAAAGTAAAATAAAAAATAAAAAACGAGTGGATCTGTGGATCTTCTACACAATGTCTCTGACAGACTATGCGCGTCAAAACTGTTTGCCGATATATAACGGTATATACAGAATATATACAAATAATATATATTATATATAATAGCAACACAACTGGTGTACCAACAATTTCAGTACATATTTACCATTGAGAGGCAACACATATCACAAGATATTACTATTCAATAGATTCAGCGCATCCACTGACATGAAGGCATGCGCTCACCATTATATTGACTATTGTTTTCAAAATTTTATACCGGAATCGCCCGAACCAGTAGTGCAGTACTGCCGGTACTCTTGCCGTATATTCATTTACACATGTGTTCACATTACTATTGTAGTATTGTATTTATTTCATACCAGTCCTCTTATTTCATTTAAATTATACTCAGACTACTTATCTTTACTTTCTCTCTTTCACACACACACACACATACACACACAAACACACACACAAACACACACACAAACACACACACACACAAACATTCATACACATACATACAAACTAAATAATTCAAATATTTATACTATTATTGAAATATAGCTAATGTACGTGTGATGAACAATATGTTTATATATAGTCAATTGACTACAAGATATAGGTGTGGCACAGTTATAATAAATGAAATTTAGTGCTTTAGTGATATACCCGCTATAAAAAGTGATACTGTATGAGCTCAGGTATAATAATTTACGAAATTAAAGTGTAATTTATAAAAGAATAAAATGTGCCAATAATTGCATATATAAGCCATTAAAAACATTTAAGTAGTTTTTCATATTTTTTATGTTTTCAAATTCTGAATTACATTTAAATTGTTACGTAAAAATCAATAAAATAAAAATTTTCACAAAATTTTACATTTATATATTATAGTGATTCAAACAACTCATATCTAGAGTTATATTATATTTCTAAGTCACGGCATTTGTAGACAAGGAAAACAATAACAATATGTTTAGTATTAATACCTATTATAACAATAGAAATATTTCATATATTATTCATTATTTATAATGAAATGGTTTTGATTGTATTGATTGTTATATACTAAGGGCAGTACTGGTGAGCACTCAGTTGTGATTTATTTTATCAATTAATTAAATTAAAACTCTATTCTCACTAAATTTACTGTATATATAAAGTAATAATAAATTGCATTGAAATCTATACTCAGTGTAAATATAGTCAAATGTTTTAAGCAGTCATTGAGTTACAGTACGTACAGTTTGCGCCCATAATATAGCTTTATTGTAATACACTTAAAACTATGCAGTTTTGCTGATAATACAAATTGTAATAAATTTCAATAACTAATTGTATATTAATGTTATATCTATTAATATTAATAATCATATGCTTAAAATGCCAATAACTAAATAAATGACAGCTACTATTTTTAAATTTAAATATAATATTTATTAATTTTATTAATTAATTTTTACAGTAAATAAATAAACTAACAAACTAGAAAAATGTAACTTTAAAATATAGTATATGCCAAACTAAAATGTTAGTATTAATTATCAAAAGTAGTTGAAAATATCTAAATAAATATTAAAATATATTATTTTTTATAATAAAAATAATTTATTAAAACTATAAATACTGTATATTATTAAAAAGTTATTTATTGAAGTTTGTTAATAAATACTGTATTTATATAATTAAAATATATAATTTCTGTCTTATAATTTACAAGGATATAAAAATTTTATTGTTTTATTATTTCATAATATAATAATAAGGTTTTCAAATATTAAATTGAAAATATAAAAAATAAAAGAATAGAGATTTTTTTGTATTTTTACATAATATTGTCTATTTTTAATAAATTTAAAAATATTATTTTAGTTTTAATTTTATATTTAGATACTCTTTTATTTATTTTAATTGCATATTCTTGAATTAAATTTTAATTATATATTTTTACAAATAATAATTTTGAAAAAACAAATAAAACCAGCATTTTATATTATATAAAACACAATTTAAACATAAATAATAACAAAAACTTGTATAAATTATTAAAAATTACAATTTATAATATAAAAATATTTAGCTATTTAAACAAATTTCAAGATATTTTTTTTAAGACAAAAGTCAATATTTTATATAATTAAAACATTTTGTGTCGTTATTACTATTATTAGTAAAATATCATATAAATAGTACAATATTTACAGTATAAACACGCACTGAGATATAAAAATGACCTAAATATATATATACAGTATTGTATTTGTCTAAACAATCTTCAAAATAGGATACTATTTATAGATTCACGTAAATTCATGTATATTTCCATAGAGAGTGAATTTATGTAATAAGTTATGTTATGTTCAATATATTCAGTATGTCTTATATCAAACACTATTAAATATGGTTTGTTTATTTGATTTACAAAATATTTATTATAACATTAAACATATTCTACACACAATAATTGCTTTTTATTTTAAAACATTGCTATTTATTTTAATTAATATTTCAAGAAATAATACTTCAAATAAATAATTTTATTACATTTCTATTTTTAAGATCCAATAAGGAAATGAGTTTTCTAATAGAAATTCATAAAACTATTTTATAAACACTGCAAACAAAAATTAATTAAATTGTTAATAATAATTTATAATGATATAATAATGATATAATAATTAATATTAAATATTTAAATTAAAACTTTTGAATAATTATCAATTAAATTAAAAACTTTTTAAAACATTAATCAGTTTCAGTTTTATTTATATCATTCAATTGGTTTATAACTATAAAATAATTTCTATAAAAGTATATTTATTTTCCATTAAATATGAAGTTATGACCGGGATTTGAAATGACAGTGTTTTATGGAAAACATTATTAATAGTCTATTTATTTGATATTTTAATGACAAAAATTCTAAAATTTCATGTAAATCATTGTAATATCATTTCTAAAATATTCCAAAAATTATCATTTTTAAAATCTTATAACACATTTATATAATTATTATCTTAATAATAAACTTTATCAACATTTCTATTTTTAAATGTTAAAATTTATTATATTTAAATATATTACGTATTACGTTAAAATAAATTTAAATTAAAAAATTGTTG